GCCCAGATCTGCCAGGATGTCTGGAATGTTGTCTGACACTGCTATGGTGAGTGTGACTGTGGCTGAGAGAGGGGGCTGACCATGGTCCTGCACAGCCACCACTAGGCTCTGCTTGAGTGCATCTCTGTCCAGCAGGGTCCGTGTAGTACGCACCTCGCCTGTGTGCAGCCCCACTGAGAAGAGCCCTGGCTCACTGGCCTTGAGCAGACGGTAGGACAGCCAGGCATTCTGTCCTGAGTCTCTGTCCACTGCCACTACCTTGGTCACCAGATATCCAGGCTCTGCAGAGCGGGGTGTCAGTTCCACACCAGTGGAGCCATCAGTGGGAAGCGTGGGGTACAGGATCTCAGGTGCGTTGTCATTCTGGTCCAGCACAAACAAGGTCAGTGACACATTGTTACTGAGTGGAGGATTCCCACTGTCCCTGGCTGTCACTAGTAGCTTCAAGTCTTGAAACTGCTCATAATCAAAGGAACGCAGTGCATAGAGGACACCAGTGTTCGAGTTGATGGATATGTAGGAGGACAGAGGTGCTCCCTGGATAGTGTCCTCTGACAGAGAGTAGATTACCTGGGCATTCTCGCCACTGTCTGGGTCCTGTGCTGTTATAGATAAGATGGAAGCTCCTCTAGGGTTGTTTTCTGGAATGTAGGCAGCATAGGAGGCATGGGTGAAGGTGGGTGGGTTGTCATTGATGTCCACCACCTGCAGTGACATATAAGTTTCTGTAGATAGTGGTGGAGTCCCCTGGTCAGTGGCGGTTATTGTAATGTTATATTCAGAGACTTCTTCCCTGTCCAGAGTTCTGTGTATCAACAACCGATGATAATTTCCATAGGTCTTTTCAAGCCTGAATGGAAGGTTATCTGGAATAGAACAAGTGACAAGACCATTCTCTCCAGAGTCACTGTCATGCACATTGAAAAGTGCAATCACTGTGCCTGGGGAGGAAGCTTCCTGGATAGAGCTGGTGAGAGAGGTGACGGTGACTTCCGGAGCATTGTCATTTACATCCAGAACTGTCACCAGTACCTTACTTCTGGCTCGAAGACCAGGCCCATCATGGGCTTCTACGTCAACATCATAGAATCCAGAGTCCTCATAGTCCAGTTCCCCCAACACTGTTATGTCACCACTTAGAGAATTCAACTGGAAGAGCTGGGATATTTTGTCTCTTACATTCCGGAAGGAATATGTCACCTCCCCGTTGGCTCCTTCATCTGGGTCCGTGGCTTTGATGGTAAGTAGCCGGGTGCCTACAGGAAAATTCTCCTTCACACTGACATGGTACTCTGGCTGAGTGAATACAGGAGCGTTGTCATTGGTGTCCACCAGTGTTACTTGAATTGTGGCAGTGCCAGAGCGAACCGGGTCGCCTCCGTCGAAGGCAGTGAGAACCAGGTGATGAACTGCTTCTTCCTCGCGATCCAAGACGTTCTCCAGCACCAGCTCGGGGTATTTAATCCCATCCGTCCCACTTTGCACGTCCAGGGAGAAGTGGCCATTAGGGCTAAGCTGGTAACCCTGCAAGGCGTTCACCCCTATATCCGGATCAAAAGCTTCAGGAAGAGGAAACCTTGTCCCAGGAATTTCATTTTCAGCGACTTTTATTTCCCTTTGCTGTGCTCCAAAGCTGGGAGCATTATCATTAACATCGATAATTTCTACTTCTACAGCAAGAATCCTCACTTTATCCTCTAGGAGAATCTCCAGATTTGCGGTACACTTTGGGGATTTGTCACAGAGTTCTTCCCTGTCGATCCTCCCTGCCATCACCAAATTGCCGCTTCGCGGGTTCAGAGCAAAAAGCTGTGTCTTACCTCTGGAGACAATGCGAACTCCGCGTTCTGTCAGCTTCCCTGGCTCCAGCCCCAGGTCCTCGGCTATGTTGCCCACCGCAGAGCCCCTTTCCAGCTCCTCTGGCACAGTGTACCGGATCTGTTCTGCGCGGGTGTTGCATATGGATCCAAGGAAAATGCAGATCCAGACTAGTCCCCTGCGGTCTGATCCGTAAGGAGCCGCCATTGCAGTCCCGCTGCAGAAAGTCCTGAGCTTGGGCGTTGAGTCTGTGCAAGCCCGAAGAACCCCACAATCTTTGAGTTTCAAGATAATGGGCTTGCACCTTTAGACGCTGGCGCTCCGGGGAGTCCAGATTGATGCTTTCCTTAGGACCAGAACCAGTCCTTTGTGCTAAGGGATTTTTGCTTTTATTAAATCCTCGATTTTCACCCCTGAGTGGTGAACAGCGACACCCAGAGTACTAAACTGTTATTGCAACCAATTCTTGCTAAAGCACACCACACACTTTTCCCTTTCCGAATCCTCCTTTTCTAAAAGGCATAAATGTCAAAATCCTATTGTTTAATTTGCAGCCAAAATCCAGGAGTTATCCAAAGCTTCATATATATATCAAACCGAGTTAATGTATGTTAGATTAATATAGTGGTTTTGAGGAAAAGGATTATTTTCTACCTCTTTTTAGTTGCTACATTGTTCATTTCCCTGCATCATTTTCACCACTTTGTAATGTATGAGGGTCACATCCATTCCTCCCAGGGACAGGAGTGGGTGTGATGAGTGTAGAAAAGGTAACAGTGAGAAAACAGAGGCCCATGGAACCTGGAGGTCCAGCTCCAGTTACAACCTATGCAGAAGCAAATTTCCTCACACGATTCACCCTCTGAATTCTGGGGTAGTTTTTCAATTCCATTGCAAGAAAGGTTTCAGCTGTGCAAGAGATAATCTTATCCTTGGGTAAGGGGAGATATTCTGGATGGGGGATAAAATAGCTAATGTTATGTACAGGACATTCTAGGTCATACACTATGTCATCACTGTCACATTCACAGCATGTCCTCAATCTTTACAACAGCAACTTGTCGCTGTTGTTGTTTTTTTTTTCAAGACAGGGTTTCTTTATGCAATAGCCCTGCTGGCTCTGGAATGCACTCTGTAGACCAGGATGGCCTCACAGAAATCTGCCTGCCTCTGCTCCTGAGTGCTGGGATTAAAGGTGTGTGCCATCACCGTCTAGCCAACAGCAACTTTCATAGACTAAAACATTTTCAAACTCAAATGATGGGCAAATATTAAAATAAATGATAGCACCAACACAGACAAGTTAAATTGAAGATATTTCAGGCCAGGGATGGTGGTGCACCCCTTTATTCCAGCACTGAGGAAGCAGAGGCAGTGTTTCTCCATGGTTCCAGGGCAGTCAGAACTTAGTAGAGAGACTCTGTCTCAATCCCACAAAAGATATTTCAGATTTTTCTCATATCAGACACATTAAGTGGCCTCATTTTACCATCACCATGTCTATTATTTCTTTTACCACTGTTTGAAATTGCTTAACCACCTATTTCAGAAACAGTAAAAAAAGGAACTATTTTAATAGTTGTGTATGCATCACAATCACATATGTCACAGCTTTCTTGGGAAATCTGAGAAATTTTGAGACAAGTAAAAAAGCTACCTATTATTTAAATTATTTCTTGCTTAACAATTAGCATATGCAAATGACCAAACTTTTAATTAAAAATGTTTAGTCTTTGAAAGAGTAGGTTAATGTGGCTTTTAAAAAAACAATTTTTAAAAGATTTATTACATGCTCAAGAGTTGGAGATTAAAATGATGTCTTGAAAATAACTGAGGATATGCATAAATATCTCAAAATTTTTGTAGATCTGACTCACAGAAATTATATGAAAATAACAAGAAAGATATAAAATGTTTCATAAATAGAAATTTCACAATCCTTACTATAATGGTGACAAAGTAGAAAGAGAATAAAATAAACGATTAAAGAAGAGTCAAAATCCATGGAGGGGTTGACAAGATGGTTCAGGTGGTAAAAGCTCTTGCTTTGAGTTTGATTCTGGGGGTGTCCATGAGTGAAAGGAACAAACTGACTCCATGATGTCTCTTAACCTCCACATGCTCCCTATGGCACATGTGTGCCTCACTCTCCACAAATAAGTGTTGAAAAGAGAAACTTGGAGGTTATAAGTAATAATAATATTGGCCCAAGTTAGTGCTTCAAATATAAAATGTGTGGTAATCTTTGGAACTCGTGGTAAGACAAGTAAGTGCTAACAGGTTTAGTTATTGAAGGTCGTGTTAAACGGATGTGTTGCAATAAAAAGTTGTTCAGGTGAGAAATTTAATTGGTGAAGATGACCACAGACTTTAATTTAGGCATAAAGAAATATTAATATGCTTATAAAGAGTTGAAGATGATTTTAAAAAATCTGTCTTACAACTCTAGTAACTAATATTATTAAGGATGTTGACCTATAGGAAACAGTCTCAACCAAGATTTGCTAGAAACACCAACAGTAAGGACCGAAACTGGCAATCAGGTGATTTCCAAGATGACTGAGCAACCAAGAACATTATCCATCCACAACACTTCTCCCAGTAAATAGTCCCCAAACTATGAAAAAAAATGACCAGAACCGATTAATTTGTGCATGATCAAGAAGCAAATATAGGAAATAGTATTTAAATAGCTCTACAAAAACTTACCCGAAGAGAAGAAGGGTCGTATGAGATTTTGGAATCTTCATTATTGCCACCTACAGCCACAGAAGGATCATCACACAGGAGATCCTGAGGGGGAGCAACTTCTGGTGCCACGTGAAGAAAATTAAACCCTGCTGTAGTCATAGAATGCGAGGCAACACAGAGATTATAGGAATAGGGCAATGTCCCCTCGCTGCAGTTGGGAGGAACCACAGGTTGAGACCTCCAGCCGAGACCAGGCTGAAAGCAGCCCCAGCCAGCTGAGCTGGAGGAGTGTCGCAGGCGCAGGGCAATAGCCAAAACCACAGCCAGGAGAAAGAGTACTGAGATCAGGGCCAAGGCCACCACCAGGTAAAACTGCAGCTCACTCTGGGGGTCCGAAGGCAGAGGGTCATCGCTGAGGTCTGGCAGGACCTCCTGTAGGCTGTCAGCGAAGATCAGGTGCAGAGTGGCTGTAGCCGAGAGAGGCGGTTGTCCACCATCACGCACAGCGACCAGAAGGCGCTGCCGGGCCGCGTCCCTGTCGCCCAAGGCACGCGCTGTGCGCACCTCGCCAGTGCGCAGCCCCAGGCTGAAGAGCCCGGGATCGCTGGCCTGCAGCACGTGGTACGACAGCCAGGCATTATGTCCAGAGTCTGCGTCCACCGCCACCACTTTGGTGACCAGGTATCCGGGCTCGGCGGCGCGTGGCACCATGTCGAAGAGCGCGGAGCCGTCGGGCTCGAGCGTGGGGTACAGCACGCGTGGCGCGTTGTCGTTGCGGTCGCCCACCAGCACGCGCATGCTCACGTTGGCGCTGAGCGGAGGGCGAGCCCTGATCGCGCGCCTGCAGTGTGAGCTGGAAGGAGCGCAGCTGCTCGTGGTCGAAGGCGCGCTGAGCGAACACCACTCCACTGTCCTGGTTCACGGATACGTAGGAGGACAGCGCCCTTGGTTCTAGGTCGCTGGCTATGATGGAGTAGGAGATGTGACCATTGGATCCCAAATCCGGGTCCGAGGCGCTGACTTGAGCGATGGAGGCTCCAGGTGGGTTATTCTCAGCCAAGTGGACCAAGTAGGAGGCCTGGTGGAAAACTGGTGCATTGTCATTGATATCTGTGATGTGCACAGTAACACATGTTTTGGATGAAAGGGATGGTTTGCCATTGTCTATAGCCATGATAGTGACGTTGTACTCTGAGGTCTGTTCCCGGTTCAGGGCCTTGTCTATCACTAGCTTGTAATAATTCTTGGAGGTGTGTTGTAATTTGAACGGAAGTTCTTCCTGGATGTGGCATGTCACCAGACCATTTTGTCCAGCATCCTTGTCTCGAACTTTAATGAGGGCTATTACTGTTCCAGTGACCGAGTCCTCTGGAACGTTGTTAGAAAAGGACATGAATGTCACCTCTGGGGCATTGTCATTCTCATCAAGAATTTCAATCTGAACATTACAGTGAGCCGTGTGCACCCCTCCGTCCCTGGCTTCTACACCCAACATGTATCTGCTCTTTTCCTCAAAATCCAACGTACCATTAGTTGTGATAGCTCCAGTGTTTGCATTGAGACTGAAGACGAGGTTAGTACTTGTAGGACCATTAAGAAAGGCATAGGTGATCTCTCCGTTAACACTCTCATCTTGATCGGTGGCTGTCACTTGCAGCACAAAGGTTCCCAAGGCCATGTTTTCACGGAGGCTAGCTTTGTAAATGTCCTGGCTGAATACTGGAGCATTATCATTGGCATCAGTGACTTTGATCCAGATCTGGATGGTACTGCTTAGGGGTGGGTCTCCACCATCGATGGCGGTCAGGGTTAAATGGTGGGAGCTCTGATGTTCCCTGTCTAGAAGTTTTTCCAGCAGTAATTCTGGGTATTTACTTCCATCGGGACTTTCCTTCGTTGACAAGGAGAAGTGTGGATTCGGGCTGATAGTGTACATTTTCAATGAGTTGCTTCCCACATCTGCATCTCTTGCAGAGTCCAGAGGGAATTTTACTCCTGGTAAGGCTGATTCACAGATCTCCAATTCAATGCTTTTCCCAAAGAAATGTGGTGCATTATCATTAATATCTTGGATGGCAACAGTTACATGGAAAACATTCATCGGGTTTTCAGTAACTGATTCAAACTCCAGTGCACACTCAGATTTCCTTGCGCAAATCTTCTCTCTGTCTATCCTGCCACTCACTAACAAATCTCCACTTTCCGCACTCACGCTGAAATAATCCTCTGCACTAACTCTCAGTTTTCGGCCTGGCAGTTCCTGGACACTTAGCCCTAGATCCTGGGCGAGGTTCCCCACCAGAGAGCCCTTGGCCAGCTCCTCTGGAATGGAGTAGCGAATGGGCTGAGAGATGGCGCCACAGAACAAAGGAACCAGGAAGTGAAGCAGTACCTGATTTGCCATCGTTCCAATGCCTCTCGGGTTGCTCTGCCGTTCTGAGCTCGCAGGAAAGCGTCTTTTCGAGGATTTTAAAAAGACAGTCTGTGCTCCGTATGTTTGTGATTTGAAGGCAGGATTTGTCAGGTGCTTGAAGGGTACACAGGAGCCGGACGGACGTTCTCATAGGTTCATAAAAAAGCAGGCAAGCCCTAGCTGGGCCCCGCCGAACGCGGAACCCTTCTCTTCTCTTTGGTCAACAGCGGCGCCTAGAGGCTGTCTTGTAAAACTGCGTATCGTGCAGCTGTTTAATCTCTTGTTTTAACTTGATTTGCTTGACATTTTCTTGTTTATCATCATTTCACGAATGCTTTTGCCATTAAACATCCATCTTCTCCATTTCACAAGGTGTGTTTTTTCTTTTTTCCCAGTTTTTGGAGAAAAATGGCATCACTGTATGGCATTACTGAATTCAGGCCTGACTATTGTATTCCAATAAGTGAGTGGATTTTCACCCTCATTATTCAGTGGACTCTGGCCTTTACCTTTCTGCAAGTTTATTGAAGCAATTTCATTATTTAGTATTTTAATTTATCTATATATTTTGTCAATTTGGCAAAACTTTTTAATGATAGTCTTTGCAATAGAGAGGAGTGGTGTAATGTATTGACGGTCTTTGCAAATCATGCTATTTTCAGTTAAGTGCAGCTGAGCCTGATAGCGTATTAAAGGTATCAAGGTAGTATTTGGGCTTTTATAATTGTGAACTTTGTGTAAGCCATATTTATTTTATGAAACAAATTCTTTCTAAATATGCAATACTCTATACACCAGATTCTCAACTTCAACCAGTCTAATACCATTAATACACTCATGTGGAGGTCAGAGGACAATGTACTGGAGTCAGTTTTCTCATTCCATCATGTAGGTGCCAGGGATGGAACTCAGGTTGTCAGGCTTGGAAGCAAGCAGCCTTACTCCTGAGGTATCTCACTGGGCCTAAGCACCCGGTTTTAGAACTTGATCCTGGACTTGGGCAACTCAAATAAGCAATCTCTTTATTTCTAATGTACCAACAAATAAGATCAAAATGGCTTAAATGCACCTCTTAAATTTCATGTGTTAGAACCTCAGTTTCCCAATCCATGATAACGGTATCTAGAGGCAGGATCTTTAGGAAGTGCTTGAGCCAGGGGGGCTTTGCATTCATTGGTGAATCAATGATTAGTTACTGAATTATATAAGTGGCTTTGTTGTAAAGATAGCAGTCTCTGAGCTACTTGCTTTGTTTTTGTCATGTGATGCCCTGACATGTGATGCCCCTAAAGAAAAGGCCCCAAGCAGATGCCAAGCAGATGAGAGTGAGATGTTCTGGGACTTCCTGGCTCCCATCAACCAGATAAATAAACCTTTATTTCAAAGATCAATTTCCAAGTCTCAGGTGTCTTCTTAGAGCAGCAGAAATGAATGGAAAATCCTTAGCTCACTGTTTTATTATATTTTGAAGTGCTCAATCATCTCCAGTAGAAATACAATATTATATTTCCTCTAAGATTCTCCTTTTATTTATTTCCTGCATTTACATTCGATTCCACAAGATTCCATCATATATGTGGATCTTGAATGAAAATATAGTTTTATACACTTACAGATATTGTCTTCAGGGTCTATTGACACACACATTTCAATGTTATATTTTCTAACATATTAAGGGAAAATTTGTTCCTTTGAGAGGCAATGAAATACATTTAGGCTCATTTTTGGATAACCCTTTTTTGTAGCTACAGGAGTAAAATAATTTCATAGACTTGAGAATGGGCCTACAATTTCTGACCAAAGAAAGTCCTAGAAGACACTCAGGATTCCTATTTCATTGCTGTAATGGGTGGTCTGGGAATTTCTTGCAGAGACAGAGAAATATTTTCCTGCTATTTGGAAATAATACATTTTGTTTTGGCATATATTCATTGTATGTAAAATTGTGTTCCACAGGACATTTTCAATATATATTTCAATATATATATATCAATCACACTGGGCATATGTCCCCATAGCCTCCCTTTTCCCTTCCCTACTGGTAGTCCCTGTTTCCCTAGAAGTTTCACTTTTGCTTGCATACCATACACACACGTATCATTTTATGTATCTGTATAAAACTTAGGGTCCACAAATGACATAGTAGACATAGTATTTATCTTTCTGAGATTGGCTTAACTTGCTTAATATAACTAATGAAACCTAATTATCTACAGTTGCATTCAATTTCCTGCAAATAACAAAGTTTCATTTTTCTTTATGTCTGAAAAATTCCATTGTGTATACATATACACCACATTTTCTTTATTCATTCCTCTATTGATGGACATCTAGGTCACTCAGTCATTGTGAACAGTTCTGCAATTAACAATGATGTGCAAGTATTCTGGTACATTGACTTTGAATTCTTTGGGTAAATATCCAGGAGTGATACAGCTACATTCCAGTTTTTAAAAAAAAAACCTTAAAGGGTGATAAATACCAGTCCTTGATACACAATGATTTAGGCAAGTGATATTTCCACCTTCAGACAAAAAGTTGAAATCACCACACACACACACACACACACACACACACACACACACACACACACTTTAGGTACAAGGGTTTAATCATCTGATTAATCTATGTTTTCCTTTTTGTGACAGTTCTTTCTATTTTGCCCAGGTTGGTCTTGAACTCTAGGCTTGAGTGATCCCATCTTCATAGTTTCCAAGGTAGCTGCAACTATAAGTATACTGCTGTATCTGTTTCCTTCACTTCTTTCATTTATTTATTTTACCTTTTTTTAATTTATGTACTAACCTCAGTTTCCCCCTCCCTTCCCTTTTTGTGTCCTTGAGATGTAAAGACTGGGCAGGTGGTAATGGCACTGGGGAGACAAAGGTAGGAGGATTCGAGGCCAGCCTGGTCTACAAATTGAGTTCTAGGACAGCCAGACTTGTTACATAGAAAAACCCTGTCTCAAAAAACAACAAAGCCAAAGGCAAAAACAAATGATGCAAAGACTGTGCTGTGACTTGGAAAGGTTCAGGCAAAATGTTTTGAGAGCATATAATACTTTGTATTCATCCCTTTTCTCCACTTGTTTCTATCAGTCAGCATAGGTCAGTGGGAAGAGTGACAAAGTTCAAATCACAGGGGTTATAAAGTGAAAGGGCAGGCTGAGGTACAGCTCAGTGGTCCAGCAGATGGCCAACATGTGCCAAGATCCTGGGCTCTACCACAGCAATTGAACAACTGGAATGAAATTGTGAATGGCCCATTTATCACAGGTGTATAGAACACTTTTGGGTTAACTCAAGGCTCTTCTCTCATTACAGTTACTCAAGAATATAGGTAGAAGGAGCAACCATAATTTCAAAGGATAAAGGAGAGAACTAGAATTCTCAAAATGACACTTTGCTTTCTGGAAGTGCCGCGTTACTGCCAATACTCACAATGTATTGGCCAGAAATGGCTACCTAGTCCCATTCAGCCATAACAAGACCAGGAAGTACAGTCTTCTCAGAGGCAAATAGGCACAGGTAGAGAAAACAGAATGTACAATTACATTGTTGCTGTACTTCTCAAAAAATGGTTAAGGTTTTATAAGAACCACACTCAAAGAAATAAACTCACCTCAAGCAGGTTGGGGTCTTCTTTTGTTTCGAGTAAATCTTGAGATATTATAAGAGGCTCGCTCTTCCCACAGCTCTCCTGGCTGATGAGAGTGTCTGCATAGTTGGGTTGTGGAAAGATCAGGTGACTCTTCCTAGAGCCTGCAGTAAGGGAAACTTCCTGGGAATAGGTCTGCAGGAAAGCTTGTACTCCATCCAGACCCACAAAGTGAGAGGCTGGTATGCCAGCCAAACCATTTCCTGAAGTCTGTAGCAGGCGTGATGAGTGCCAGCGTCTTAGCCTAATTGCCAGCAGCACAATGACAAAGGCCAGGAAGATGCAGGAGACCACAGCCACTGCCACCACCAGGTAGAGTGTGAGGGCTGAATCTTTGGGATTGGCAGGGGTATGGATGCTTTCCAGTTCTCCCAGGATGTCAGGGATACTGTCAGCCACTGCTATGGTAAGTGTGACAGTGGCTGAGAGAGGGGGCTGGCCATGGTCCTGCACAGCCACCACTAGGCTCTGCTTGAGGGCATCTCTGTCCAGCAGGGCCCGTGCAGTGCGTACTTCACCTGTGTGCAATCCCACTGAGAAGAGTCCTGGCTCACTGGCCTTGAGCAGGCGGTAGGAGAGCCAGGCATTCTGTCCAGAGTCTTTGTCTACTGCCACTACCTTGGTCACCAGGTATCCAGGATCTGCAGAACGGGGTGCCAACTCAACACCAGTAGAACCATCTATCGGGAGGGCAGGATACAAGATTTCAGGCATATTGTCATTCTGGTCCAGCACAAATAGGCTCAGTGTCACATTGCTGCTGAGGGGAGGTTTCCCGCTGTCACTAGCTGTCACCTGCAACTGCAAGTCCCTAAACTGCTCATAATCAAAGGAGCAAAGAGCATACAGGACACCAGTATTGGAGTTGATGGAGATGTAGGATGACAGTGGCACCCCCTGAAGTGTGTCCTCAGCCAATGAATAAGTGATTTGTGCATTCTTGTCAGTGTCCGGGTCCTGTGCTGTAACAGAGAAGATGGAGGCTCCCCTAGGATTGTTTTCTGGAATATAGGCTGAATAAGAGGTGTGTGTGAATGTAGGAGGGTTGTCGTTGATGTCAGACACATGCAGAGTAATATGACTTTCTGTGGACAGTGGTGGGTTTCCCCCATCGGTGGCTTTTAGACTGATATTATATAGAGACACTTGTTCTCGATCCAGAGACTTAGCTGTCACTAAGCGATAGTATTGGTCTATTGATTTTTCTAGAGTAAAGGGCAGGTTTCCTAGGACAAAAACTGTGACTTGCCCATTCTGGCCAGAATCTCGGTCATGCACACTGATAAGAGCGATTTCTCGTCCAGCAGGGGCTTCTTCTGGGACTGAGCCTGTGACGGAAGTGACTGAAACTTCTGGGGCATTATCATTCACATCCAGAACCTTGACAAGAAGTTTGGCTCTTGAAAAAAGACCTGGTCCATCTTGTGCTTCAATTTTTATTTCATAGAA